AGGTGAATATTTCATCATTTCCAACTACCTAGCTGAGATGACAGTGCTGTTGTAGTATATTCAATTTTGCAAACAGTAACGAATTTTTCAAATTGTCTGAGAAAGTTATTGAATTTTGACAATTCAAATTATCAATTTCAATGTATTTCGTAAATATTATATTCGGTTTTGATTGATAATAAATTGTAGTAATACTCGCTTTGCAAATTCGTTTAGAGTATAGTTTCGGTCCCGCTGAAGTTCCAGATTAACCTCATTATATTTAATTTCATTATGGTAATCCAGAGTACCTTTTGAAAGTTTTTCCCATCAAATTCAACAAACCATGTTTAGAACGTGTTTGTGGTTCAATATTATCAATTTTGTTCTCTACTTCTGAGATGAGGTATTCGTCATATCTGAGTGGATTTGACAGGAGTGTGTAAGGTTAACTTTAGTGCCTGAAATAAACCAAAGCTGTTTTATGATCGTGAGTGTCGTAGGACTCTGGCAAATTAACCTTGACTCTTTGATAACCATAGTCAACTCTTTCGTTAATGAAGGTTTTTCAGTTGATTGAAAACTGAAGAAATTTCGACAAAATGAATGAGAGTGTGCTGTCTATTATTCTGGATATCTCAAGGTGAGAGAAAAGCAAGGGAGTTCTCATATTGGTGATTTTTATGTAACTGGTCGCTATTCTGTACATCATTAGGAGTATGACTACATGAAGCAATAGTACCATCAGATTCATTGTCCTGTGTTTTTTTGGTTTTTTGAGTTGAGGTTTGTGTACGAATCTATCTTTTGTTTTATGTATTTTAGTTCCTGAGTCTTTATGTACTGTTTCTTTCCATGACAGGACCCACTTTCACTTCTTGGTCACCGAATTGACATCCTACCAACTGCGCCAGCTACGTATGTGTTTATGATTTGTTTTTCTCGACTTGCTAGCGAATGTAACTTCGTCCATGTGCAATGCTCATCCAGCGAATTCGAGTTCTCAACTTGAAGGACAAATTGAAAATTCATCCCCGAAAAGTAGTAGTTTTCAAATCAAATCTAGAATTGATTGGACCATAGGTAATGTTAGTAGACTACAAAATGTTATAATTTAGTAGTAATTCATGAGTTCTTACTCTAGGAAGAGTGTCTATAGCGAAACATATTCGCGGTTTTATAAAACTTCATAGTGGAAATCACAGTAAACTGCTTTAGTCTTGTGGGAGGGTGAACACTCAGAAAGACAACAAGAAACATTATCCCTATAACAATAATATGTTCTCACTAGAACTCTGTGAATTATAAAGTCCAATACTCTATGTTTCAACTTTGAAAATCTGATCGAAAAAGAAAAATGGCAGATGTTTACTCTTCTTTCATAATGAATGATGAATTCAGTATTTTTTTCAACACTTCCAAATCATTTATCATTTCCATTCAAAAGAATTCAAATAAAGAAAAGTTGTAACTGAAGAACTGAAAGAACTTCATAATATATCTACTCTGTGAAATGGCACACATTATTGAAAGCTCATCAAATATGACCATTAAAAATGAATTTGTATTTTTTGATCTAAAATGCCATGGATCGTGTAAATCGCTTCATTCTTGATCAAGTAATATGGGAAAACTACAAGTTTGAGGATTATGACCTCACAGTCGTTTTAAGAATTATTTCACAGTCGCAAATATTAATTTTTTCCAGTTAACTTGATTTTTTCAAATGGAAAGAAGGTGGCTCGTTGGTTTTTTGTGAAAGATCATTTTCTTACGAATAATTTGATGCCCCACAGGTACGATACAAGAAAATGTGATAACCTACATCACCATACTCAAGGTTAACCATTGGGCAAAACTCGGACATATATATATATA